CGCAGAGGCGATAGAGGGTCCCTACTCCTCTCAGTGGCAGGCAGCCATGGACGCAGAGATGGCTTCCTGGAAGTCCACAGGCACCTATGTCGACGAGGTTCCCCCACCTGGGGCGAACATCGTCAGTGGCATGTGGATTTTCAGGGTGAAGCGGCCGCCGGGTTCTCCGCCTGTCTTCAAGGCGCGTTACGTGGCTCGAGGCTTCAGTCAGCGAGAGGGAGTTGACTTCTTCCAGACCTTCTCCCCCACCCCGAAGATGACCACTCTTCGGGTGCTGCTGCATGTTGCTGCTCACCGTGACTACGAGCTTCACTCTCTTGACTTCAGCACAGCTTTCTTACAGGGCAGCCTGCACGAGGAGATCTGGCTGCGCCGCCCCCCGGGCTTCACTGGGTCGTTCCCTCCTGGCACCCAGTGGAGCCTCCGGCGGCCGGTCTACGGTCTCCGCCAGGCACCACGTGAGTGGCACGACACACTGAGGACTACGCTTGCGGCTCTTGGGTTTGCGCCTTCTACTGCTGACCCGTCGCTGTTTCTGCGCACCGACACTTCCCTGCCGCCGTTCTACATCCTCGTGTACGTCGACGACTTGGTTTTTGCCACTGCTGACACTGAGGCTCTCGCCCACGTGAAGTCGGAGCTGCAGAAGAGACACACGTGCACAGACTTGGGTGAGCTGCGCAGCTACCTTGGCTTGCAGATCACCCAGGACAGAGCACGTCGCACCATCACCTTGACTCAGTCACACATGGTGCAGCAGGTCCTTCAGCGCTTCGGCTTCACCTGGTCTTCAGCACAGGCCACTCCTCTGGCTACAGGTCACACGCTCTCAGCTCCACCTTCGGACGAGTCCGTAGAGCCGAGTGGTCCTTACCCAGAGCTAGTCGGCTGCCTCATGTACCTGATGACTTGCACTCGACCTGACCTCGCGTACCCTCTTGGTCTTCTGGCTCGCTACGTGGCTCCTGGTCGGCACCGACCTGAGCACATGGCTGCTGCTAAGAGGGTACTGCGCTACTTGTGCAGCACATCAGGCATGGGGCTAGTGCTTGGAGGGACGAGCCCAGTTGTCCTCACTGGACACTCAGACGCTTCTTGGGTTGACGACCAGGCTACTCAGCGGTCGTCACAGGGTTACACCTTCAGCCTTGGCTCTGGTTCAGTTTCGTGGCGTTCTACACGTTCGTCTTCAGTTCTCAGCTCCAGTTGTGAGGCTGAGATCTACGCCACAGCCATGGCTGCACAGGAGTTACGCTGGCTCACCTACCTGCTGACTGACTTGGGAGAGCAGCCTCGTTCTCCTCCAGTGCTGTACGTCGACAACAAGGCCGCCATTGCCTTGTGTGAGGAGCACAGACTGGAGCACAGAACGAAGCACATTGCTCTGCGTTACTTCCTGGCTCGAGAGTTGCAGCAGCGAGGCCAGCTTCGTCTTCGCCACGTGGCCACTCGGGCCAACACTGCTGATATATTCACCAAGGCACTTTCGTCTGGTGATCATCAGCGCTTTTGTACTCTGTTGGGCCTTGTGCCTACGTTTCCACACTTGCTGTAGTCTCTGCTTGTACTGTGATCTATATATATACCTGCATGCTGGCTCTTGCTAGGTAGCCATCACTGTACTGTTATTGCTGCATATATATCTCTGCATGTGAACTGGCCCTGTGGCCTTTTGCTTGTGCTCGGAATGCGTGGTGACGTTGTGATCCACCCTGAGCTTGTTTTTGCTTTGCTTTCTTGACTGGTCGTGTGACCCCTTGTTCTCCCCCACTTTGCCTATGGGGGTGTGTCAAACTATATGTGCTGCATATTGTTTAGGCTGTAGTGGGGTAGCCCATATGGGGTACAACCCAATTAGGGTTTACTACTTGTACTCCTGCATCCTGTTAGTTCATCCATTCCTGCTGCTAGATTCTGACACCACCATCCTTCGTCAACCCCACTGCTCTCTTTGAGATGTGATGAAGGGGGACGAGGTGTTGGGGTCAGCTTGGGGTGAGCTTCCCTTTATCCCTCCCTGCCCCTCTCCCCTCTCCCTCCCTCCCTCCCTCCCTCCCTCCCTCCCTCCCTCCCTCCCTCCCTCCCTCCCTCCCTCCCTCCCTCTCTCCCTCCATCCATCCATCCCTCCCTCCCTCCCTCCCTCCCTCCCTCCCTCCCTCCCTCCCTCCCTCCCTCCCTCCCTCTCTCCCTCCATCCATCCCTCCCCATCCCTCCCTCCTCCCTCCCTCCCTCCCTCCCTCCCTCCCTCCCTCCCTCCCCCCCCCCCTCCTCCCCCCCCCCCTCTCGAACCCCACCCCCCTGAGTCAACATCAGAGTCCTTACTGGCAACCAGTTATCAGGGACCATTTCTTCGCAATTTTCCGAGCTAACAAACTTGCGCTACATGTAAACTCCCCCAAACTGCATTCCCATTGTCCCCACTGCACACAATCACTTGCCTCCATCCATGCTGCTTTCTGCAAGGCTCCTTCACTTACCCATGTGTGTGCCAATGCTGGTATCTTAGCAAGAATTTCGTTTCTGGATCTCTTCCCAGTGCTCTGTCTGCATTGACAAGCATGTCGGGATTATGTGTCCCTTCAGTATGATTGTGTTATGACATTGCAAAGCAGCGTGGTAGAGAAGAGAGTACAAATGGCCAATCGGGTAGAGTTTTTTCCATGCAACTGGATGCGCGAATCTGGCATTTTCCTGCCAGATCTGACAATTTGAGGGTGGGGTAAGAGGGGGCAGGTTGCCGGAAGTCAAGTTATTCGCAACTCAACTCTGGTTGAGCAAAACAACTCGTCCATTTAGTTGAGTTACAAGCCAGCATGGAGTGAAAGAAAGCTTGGTGTGAGGAATACTCGAGTCGATGTGAAACTCGATGGTGATAGAGTCAAGCAGAATTGGGTCGAGTTTCGCTTGACTTGTACAATGCGCAATGCTCATGTATAGCAGAGAGGCAGAAGAGACCAGTGCACCAATGGTGACACCCTTGCTGTGTTATGCACGCATGCATTGATGGCCTCCCCTGCCACTCAGGTCCATGGCCGACAACCATTTCTGTCAGGCACCATTTCTGTCTTGAGCGCGCTCAGCAATCTCTCCACTATGTAAGATTGCATCCATAGCAAAAGTACCCTGCTGTGCCCTTATGCCACGCCAGCCGCCAGGCTGTTCCTTGCCATGCGATGCCATGCCATGACATGTCATGCCACTCCATGCTTCGCCATGCAATGCCATGCATTATCGTGCCGTGCCATGTCACGCCGTGCCATGCCATGCCATGTAATGACGGGCCATGCCTTGCATGCGTACCATACCACATCTACTCCACCATCCTACTCATATTCTCGTGCTTGCCATTCCCTCCCTCCATCTCTCCTACCTCTCTGCAGCACTGCCTGTTTCCATTTGCTTCCTTGTACCCCAACTGTTACGGGGTAGTTTACTGTTCAAGGGTGGTTTACCCTAAACAGTGCCCCCAACCCTATCTTCATCCAATCCACCAAGGATTTCCTAGATTTCCCATCCGCCACGTGACACTCTACTTTTCTAGCATTCCATTTCCTTGTCCCACAAACTGCTTTTTAACAATCGCTCTTGTATGCTACTTGAACCTTGCTTGTATTCCCTGTTATCAACCAATTCTCATTCGTTCTTCAATGACTTAGTAACTTCTTCGCCTATTTCGCCAATAGTTCTTCTCCCCCCCCCTCCCTCCCTCCCTCCTCCCTCCCTCCCTCCCTCCCTCCCTCCCTCCCTCCCTTCCTCCCTCCTTCCCTCCCTCCCCCCGCCCTCCCTCCCTCCCTCCCTCCCTCCCTCCCTCCCTCCCTCCCTCCCTCCCTCCCTCCTCCCTCCCTCCCTTCTGCCCTCCCTCCCTCCCTCCCTCCCTCCCTCCCTCCCTCCCTCCCTCCCTCCCTCCCTCCCTCCCTCCCTCCCTCCCTCCCTCCCTCCCTCCCTCCTCCCTCCTCCTCCTTCCCTTCCTCCCTCCCTCTCTCCCTCCCTCCCTCCCTCCCTCCCTCCCTCCCTCCCTCCCTCCCTCCCTCCCTCCCTCCCTCCATCTCTCTTTCCCTCCCTCGCTCTCTCCGTCCCTCCTTTCAACCCAACCCCTGTCGTGCCCCGGTCAACATCAGAGATCTCTCTTACAACCAATTCTCAGGAAGAATTCCCTCGGGATTCTCAAACCTAAAGAAGTTGAGCTACATGTAAGCTCCCCCCAACTGCACTCCCATCCCCCCCACGGTACACCATCACTCGCCTCCATCTATTCTGTTCGCTCTATAGCCCCCACATGCATGCACTGCTGTGCTGACCATCACTTTCTGGTGTGTGCTGCCAATGCAGGTACCTTCATAGGAATTCCTTCTCTGGGTCTCTTCCCAGTTCCCTCTCTGCAATGTCAAGCCTCATGCAAGTGTGAGTCCCTTGCTCTATCCATGTGTGCCGGGACACTGCAGAAAATTCCATGGTTGGGAAAAGGTGAATGCAAGAGTTGTTTTCATTGAGAGAGTCAGCGTTTACATAGTGAGGGAAGTGGGGGTAACCAAGAGAAGGCGCACCCAACACGATGGGTATCCAATGCGTTTAACTACCCAGAAATGTTTGGAGTGAGCCACGAATTATTAAAACCAGGGTCTCATGTAAACCGAGTGTTTTGCAGTTGATGGCAAACCCCCGTACCAGATTGGTTGACGAACTTGAAGGTTGGGGAGGGGGGGTGACGAATTTCGTGCACTAGCCACATTTCGGCAACACAAGCAAGCCAACTTCGCGACCGTCGTAAAGTTCAACACATGCGACCAGCTATTCGCACACACAACAAACAACACGGCAAGCACAACTCACCCAGTCAGTCACAGAACCGCTGCCTGCTGCGCCGTACACAATTACAGCACTATGACCACCTCGACCTAATATAGACTCAGGACTTGGCAGTGGCGGCTTCACAGTGTAGCGCTGGCAGAACGACTAAGGTGAACGCGCCACACATACTGCCTCCTATTTCGAGTTAGCTAATGGTTCCGATTGCCCGTCCGCGCGTCGGTATGATTTCGTCTTCATCGTTGGCGAAATGAGGCATGGTCTCCCACGAACAGAACTTCAGTTCTGCTCGTCTCAAGCTTCCGCGGAGTGCCTAGAATTTCAGCCCACACGACCGAAAGAAATAGGATCGCGGCGACCACGGGACCAACGTTCACACAAACCAACACCACTCCGCGCCGTTCACGAATGCCCACCACGCTTCCACTCCACGTCCGCCCACGCTCCCTCTCTTCCCGTCGCCCACGCTCCCTCCCTTCCCGTCACCCACGCTCCGTCCCTTCCCGTCGCCCACGCTCCCTCCCTTCCCGTCGCCCACGCTCCCTCCCTTCCCGTCGCCCACGCTCCCTCCCTTCCCGTCGCCCACGCTCCCTCCCTTCCCGTCGCCCACGCTCCCTCCCTTCCCGTCGCCCACGCTCCCTCCCTTCCCGTCGCCCACGCTCCCTCCCTTCCCGTCGCCCACGCTCCCTCCCCCTTCCCGTCGCCCACGCTCCCTCCCTTCCCGTCGCCCACGCTCCCTCCCTTCCCGTCGCCCACGCTCCCTCCCTTCCCGTCGCCCACGCTCCCTCCCTTCCCGTCGCTCACGCTCCCTCCCTTCCCGTCGCCCACGCTCCCTCCCTTCCCGTCGCCCACGCTCCCTCCCTTCCCGTCGCCCACGCTCCCTCCCTTCCCGTCGCCCACGCTCCCTCCCTTCCCGTCGCCCACGCTCCCTCCCTTCCCGTCGCCCACGCTCCATCCCTTCCCGTCGCCCACGCTCCCTCCCTTCCCGTCGCCCACGCTCCCTCCCTTCCCGTCGCCCACGCTCCCTCCCTTCCCGTCGCCCACGCTCCCTCCCTTCCCGTCGCCCACGCTCCCTCCCTTCCCGTCGCCCACGCTCCCTCCCTTCCCGTCGCCCACGCTCCCTCCCTTCCCGTCGCCCACGCTCCCTCCCTTCCCGTCGCCCACGCTCCCTCCCTTCCCGTCGCCCACGCTCCCTCCCTTCTCGTCGCCCATGCTCCCTCCCTTCATTCATCCATCCCTCCATTTATCCATCCCTCCATTCATCCATCCCTCCATTCATCCATCCCTCCCTTCATCCATCCCTCCATTCATCCATCCCTCCCTTCATCCATCCCTCCTTTCATCCATCCCTCCCTTTATCCATCCCTCCCTTCATCCATCCCTCCATTCATCCATCCCTCCCTTCATTCATCCCTCCATTTGTGACGTGGGTTCGGGTTGTAGTAGGGGGTGTGGCTGGTGATATGGTATTTATGGAAAGATGGTGTAGACCAATGGGGGTGAGAGGTGGATCAATCCGTTCTTCAACGGGGTGGCGATATGGGGTTGTCTGTGCCCACGTGGTTGTTGGAGGGGTTGATACAGTAGGCACGGCTACTGGAGGGGCTTCCTCCGCATGGAGCACCGATTGGGGGGCTGATTCACGTGGTGCATTAGTACAAAGGGTCTCGTCAGGGTTTTGGTGGGTTTGAGGGGATGAATTTGGGATCTGTTGACTTGGACAGGCAACATCATCCGGCACCTGTGTAGTTGCGCGTGATTCAGGAGCAACTTCACACGGAGCGAGCTCATCAGGCTCCAGCCCAACATCACGCCAGTCAGTCATGATCTTGTCTAGCCACCCCCAGTCCATCGCCCCCAGTATCCGCTCCTTACTCCCACGACGGACCCTGGTCGTTTTCCGAATCCGTGTCTTGATTGCCACTACGACGCGATCCACGGTATGGTTCCAATGCAACACCGATAATCCGATTCTCGGCACCATACTCCCTTGAAAACGAATACGCTTAGGAGCATACTTGATCACAAGGCTGTGGAACGACTCGTTGACCCAATTGGACGCACCCTCCACATAGGCCTCCATCTCTTTTGGGCTGCAATTGACCTCCAACCATTCCCGCAAGGCCAAGTGGGCAGGAGAATTGGGTTCATAAACCGCACTTTCAGGACCCCATTTCTCAGACACACATTTGGGGATCTCACCCCCACTCCCACAATTGTGATGCAGTCCTGCCCAGTGATCGGCTGCCCCAATGAGCTCACGCGCAACTGCACTTGCAGATGTTGTGTGGCCAGCTGCTGCTTTGGTTGAGTTGCGGAGCATCACATGGTTAAAATGCGTGCCCCAACGTTGTGCCAAGGTCACCTCGTCATACTCCACATCATCGTCACCGTCGGCCGCATGCTCCCCACGCTTCCGCTTCCTACTGCCACGCTCTGTCCATCGCCGTACAGCCACGTCATCTTGCTGCTCAGAGGTCAAAGTTGGTGCCGGCGTTTGAGATTCCCGCAGTTCCTCTTCACACGCTCCATGTTGGGTTGGTGCCACAGCATATGCAAGCACAGAGAAATTACACAGCAATTGGTGTGTTCCATGATGCATCCATGTCTAAGTACGTCATGGATGCAATATCAAGACTCACCTTGCAAATCTTGCACTTGATCGACCACTTCCTCATCTTCAGCCTCTTCCACCACCATTGTGTTGGCTGTCATCCGTATGTAATCTGCGTGTGTTGACGTTGGAACCCCATAGGTTGGGTGTGGGTCGAATTCCCACAGTTCACGCACGTCTGGCCATGTGATGTCGATGACAGGATTCGTGGCACCTTCCACGATACGTTCGTTACTCCCGATAATTGCACCGTGTTCACGTTCAGCTACACCCCCCCCGTTTGCAGTGATTCCCACTGGCACAGGCCCTGTGAACTGTCGAGGGTCCCCTGTAGGGACATTTCTCAAGGCTGAAAATGGCTGGATGTTTTCAGCACCTGCTGCAAGTACGGGTATGTTCACATCCAATGTAGGCTGCGCGGGACTTAGTTCCAAGCAAGTACTCTCTTGGGACACTCTGTCCGCAACCTTTTGGCGCTTGGTCATTGGGCCACGTGTTGCAGGTCGGGGGTCCTTGACCCGTAATACCCTTCTCAACTCAGGGTACAGCCATATTGAGGTGGGAACTGCATTTGGGTCGTAGTTAAACCTGCCCAGGTTTGCGCACACAGCTTCAATGAGGGCTGCCTTTGCCGACGTTGCACTTAAATCATCTCCACCCCCCCCGTGCTGTTTAAGGAAGGCCCATAATGATGCTCTTGAACATAACCAGAGATCTCCGGTGCACTTTGCACCCTCCACCTTCATTGGTGGCCGTCGTGCATCAACTAACTCCTTGATGAACTTTCGTACCAGGGCTCTGGCCTTATGCCACACATCTTTCTGATGTGCTATGCCTAGGCCCTCAATGCCAGCCTTAAAAGAACTCCCGTCATCGGAAATTATCCCTTCCACGTGAAATCCAATCGCCCTCAACTTGCTAAGGCCGTCTTCAAAAGCACGCAACTCCAATGCAGTTGAAGAGACCTTCGCAGTCGTCTTCCATGCTGTCTCGGTGTGCATGACCTTGCGGGTTATCGGGTCAATGAATGATACCGTGCACCATTCGGCCTCACGTGGTTGAGACCACCGTCCGTCCACGCACAACATCTTCCCAGGTATGTCTCTCTTGCTCATTTCCGCCCGCACGCCAGCCATCGACCTCTCTGCCGCCTCCTCGATTGCCTTCCACAATCCTAGGGACCCTCTCATGTACCTATAAAATGTCTCCTTTCCAATGATAGGCAATCCTAGGGTGCGGGAAACTTCCCAGAGTTGCTGGTAACCGATTCCAGCCAAGGCAAATGAAGCCAGAAACTTGGGCAACAAAAGGGAAGATTGGGGACCCTTTGTTGTATTCTTACCGGTTGTGCGACCCCGCTTTGTAGACCAAAATGGTAGGACCCTTGTGCATTTGTCACACACCCACACCAGCCCAAAACATGCCCATACCAGCTTCCACGATTTGAGGATCATCCGCCCTGTACACCCGTCTCCTGTGCTGCAACAAAGGCGTAGACCCTGGAAGAACTTTGTCAGCATCTTAGGGCCGAGGAGGCATACCGTGCCATTGGCTACTTCACGGAGCGTTATCTCTGCCGGCTGATTACACGGTGGTCTATCTTGAGCATTTTCTCGTCCCGAAGTCGTGCTGTATATGGGCATGGGCAGGACACACATTGGACATTAGCAAATTGCCAATCACACAGATACGCGTGAGAAGACAGGTTATATATTTTCATGCTAGGTGGTATTCGTGAATCACTTACCTGATGTGCATTTCAGAGCACAACTGGCTCGACGTGGCAGGCAGCTCGGTCGATGTGTTCACGCGGGTCTCGTCAGCAGTTTGGCCTCCACCAGCGGCGAATGATTCACTACGCTGTCCATGATTTCCCCCACAACGACCAACGTCAATGCCCCCTGAACCCCCTTGCTCCCCCCCTGGTCGCACTTCTGTCTCACATCCGGGGGAGTGCTGCTCCCCCACGGAGCCACAAGTTTGCGCAGCGTTATTCGTTACTGCGATCACATATCGGCAAGGAAAGCATAAGTGACTGATTTCACACCATGGTGATGACCATCCCATGCAGTGCTGCATTCCTCACTATGAATGGGAAAGCCGACATCGTCTCACCCGCAGCTTTTAGCGCCTCATAATGTTCGCCCTTCCTGTGTCCTCCATGTTGGAAGCCACCTTCTTTCACCACTTTTCCCTTGGAATTTGTCTTGTAGGTTGGCAGGTTGAACTCGAATTGTGGCCAACGGTGTGGTGTCCTTTGAAGTATCTCCTGGACTGTCTCCCCGTACCCTTAGCTTTCTCTCTCTCTCTCTCTCTCTCTCTCTCTCTCTCTCTCTCTCTCTCTCTCTCTCTCTCTCTCTCTCTCTCTCTCTCTCTCTCTCTCTCTCTCTCTCTCTCTCTCTCTCTCTCTCTCTCTCTCTCTCTCTCTCTCTCTCTCCCTCATTTCCCTCACATTTTCTCTGTTAATCTTACCCTATCTATCTCTCTCACAAGCTCTCACACGCTCTCTTTCATTGACAGGACCTCCCTCGGGAGGTCACACACTATGACCCGGTCGCTACTGGTGGTCCAATACCTGCAAGTGCTGCGGCCCCAAGCAGCTTCGACATTGCGTGCGGAGCCTCTGATGCAAGCACACTGACTACGTCGTTAACACTTGCTGCGTAATCCCCTCCTCTCAGCGCAGTCAGGCCACATCGCATCATTGCCATAGGAATCAACATGTGCTTTCCAATGGAGACGTTCCGTTGCTCTATTGTGCCCGTAATAGGCTGGAAACACGGTGGTGTGGGGTCGCTCATCGGAGCCGATGAATTGGGCGCATCCATCTCTCCGTCCGCCTAATTTGCCGGAATGGAAAGGGGTGAGCAGAGAGTGGTGAGTTTGGTGGATCATGCTTCGCTCCACGGGATCTGCTTGTGCAGCCATACGAGTCAGGGTCAAAGGCAGCTGGATCTTCTGGGAACTGCCGGAGAGAAGCAGCACACAGCGAGACGAGAAGAAATTGTGAGGAGAGGGGGAGGTATGCGATCAGATGGGACACCATGTGACAAGAACTAGGAAGTATGTGACCACGGGAAAATCATGGAATGAGAAAAAAGGACCATCTCAGGGATTCCTGTTATGGGCAGGGCAAGCCGAAGCGTAAAGTGGCGCACATTGAGGAGCAGTAGCAGCAGGAGACGCATTGTAAGTGGAAAAGTTTACACAGAGAGAACGGAGTGGTGCAGAATGGTTCCAGTTTTCTTAGTGGAGCAGAGGAGGCACAGACGGGGATGAGAAAGGGGCACAAAGGGGAGGAGACGAGGTGGAGAGAGCACACAAAGAAAGATGTTCAAAGCGGGATCGAGGGGAACTGGTGAGAGCACTTGAGGGGAAACGGGCCAATGGAGGGGGGATAATGGGAGGAGGTGAGAGTTTGTAGAGTATCGGAGCGCACTGGAGGGGAGGCGAGGACTGAAACACAGAGGCGCGGGGCGCTGAGGATGTGCCCTGTGGAGAATGGGGGCACACGAGAGGGCATGGGAAGTGTGGGGAGCAGATGAGAGCATACGGGAGGGGGGCACGTGAAACCGCACGGGCGAGATTAGTGGGGCTGAAGGCCGGTCGTAAGGGTTCGATGTTGAGGGCACGAGGGAGGAAGGGCGTGCACAGAAGTGAGCAATGGAGCAGCACAGGACGCTAGGGCACACTAGTGGAGCATCGTTGGGTACAGGGGGAAGAGAAGTCGCATGTGCCGAGACCAGCCTGAGCGAATAAAATCACGTAGAGTTGGGTGCATTGTGGAGCACAAAAGGGTGGGACATGAGAGCGCAGTGGGGTTGTCTGCACAAGGGAGACGGAGCCTGCGTTCCCGAAGTGAATGGAGAAGGGCGACTGCTGAGTGGACGAGAAGAGGGGATCGAGCAGATGGGTACATGGGTGACCGGTGCACCTGGGACAATCCGCGTCACCTGTGCTGGAAGTTGGTTTCTGCCTGTACACTGTTTTCACCGCTGTGGCACATGCGGGGCGCTGTTTGTACCGCCTAAGATGATGGTAGTAGCACACGGTTCACGTCTGCCGACTCACGCGACGTTCTATTTCTTCCGTGCGAACCCTAAACAGTGTGCTATTTGTCATGTTCTCTCATAGCGATGCGTCATTTCGCCCGCGCATTGGGATTACCTTGGCGACGCGAACCCTGAAATGCCGGTTCTAGTAATGCGTGGACTCGAGTGCATGCAGTGAGGCGTATACCGTCCTCGGGAAACCCTAATCCGCTGTCGCCGGTTATTGCATTTGTCGGGGATCACGTCGATGCGAAGCTGTGAGACAGATGAGTCGATTTGCCTAGGTATTTGGGTTGCGTGGGCTGGGCGACTCGGGAATGTCTTCGTACTGATGGCTGTTCTATGCCTGACTAGCGTGGATTGTGCTCAGAGTCTCATGTAGTTTCGAATTTGTTTTGCATTTGCTTTGGCTGTGCTTTCTGGCTGCGTCGCACATTGGCGATGAGATGTGTCGCAACACTCTTCAATCACCCTGGTGACTGTTTTTTGCACCCCGTTCCCAACCCAACCCTCTTTGGAGTATCGCCAGCATCAAAACCTGGTAACCAGCTCTCAAATGTTTTGCAGTTGATGGTGCTGTCCAGTACGTGAGACCCTGGTTTTAAGGGAGCCAGTTATTGCTTGACAAAGGCCAGCAATGTTGGCCCCGGTCCTTGCGGAGGGGGTTTGGGGCGGCCCAATCCAAAACTGGATGGGATATCTCAAGCAACGTGTACCAGGAACACCTGTACGAATAGAACATACTTGTACGGCACAGTGTAAGAAGCAGAGCGTTACCTCTTCTTAGTTTCCCTCTCCCAGGCTATCCATTTTCAGACTATCCCAGGTTATCCCTGAACCCTCTCCCGAGCCACGTGAGTAATCCGCGTGCCTCATGTTACGCAACACAATTATTCCGACACAGCATAGTATTTCTGACACAACTTAGTTTTTCCTGCACAATATTGCGTAAATAGTATACGCACATACAGCTTTTTGGTCGCATAACACTGTTATTCCTTGTAGAGGAAGATTTGTTCACCTTCCAAACGTCTATTTATCCAAGTATGGCTTTTACCACTGCTGCTGCTAATATTCGTTGCTACAGCGGTTACCCTTAGCTTTGTACAGCAACTACTACCAACCACAACTGTGTTGTACTGGTTGCAATAAGATTCGCTTTTCCCTTGATACCATGTTTCCACTTACAAGGCAATGTGTCTCTCTACCATAGCCAAGCCACATTGCGTTTTGAGATGTCTGAATGCCTCCTCTTCTAGCCACTCTTCTAGCCTCCCTTCCCATCCATCTCCTCCTATCCCTCTCTTCAACCTAATTTCTCTCACCTACTTGTATCTTGCTGTCTCATCTCTCTCCCCCTGCAGTGACCTGAGCAACAACCGACTTCATGGAACCATCCCCACTCAGCTCACCGGCCTTGTCCGCCTCACTCTCCTGTGCGTCCGCCCTGCATCATCCCATTCACTCTCCTGTGCGTCTGCCGTGTATCACCCCATGCACTGTCCTATGGGTCCGTTGGTCTACTGGCCTGCTCGCATCCCCATCCATTGCTTCCTCTCCCCCCGCCCCTTTTCCTCCCTCCAATGCCTGCAAATTTATTTGATTTGCCTCCATTCCTGCTAAGAAAGAAGGTTCGATATTCTTCTTCTTCCTCTCTTCCTCTCCCCTTCCTCCTGTCTTCCTCTCCCCTTCCTCCTCTCTTTCTATCCCCTTCCCCCTCTCTTCCTCTCCCCTTCCTCCTCTGTTCCTTCACCTCCCTCCCTCCTTCCTCCCAGCAACCTGCGCAACAACCAGCTGACAGGCCCCGTACTGCAGCCCATCCCAGCAAACCTCACCGTCTACGATCTCGACAACAACTACCTCTCCTCAGGCTTCTCCTCCCCGCCCAACTGCTCCCAAGGCTCCATCTCCTTCCGCTTCAACTGCCTCCCAACCCCCACCCGAGACTTCTCCTGCCCCACGCCTACCACGCCCTCTGCTGCGGATGCAGCGGTGCAGAGCCCGGAGGAGCTCTGTGATGTGTTTTGCGGCGTGAGTGCTGCCGACCCCCCGTGTGGCGGGCATGGCTCCTGCTATGTGGACGGGTCCAGCAAAGTGCCCACGTGTCCTGCGAAGCTGGGTTTGTCAACGGGGAGCTGCCTGGAAGCTGCATACCTGAGGGAAGTGAGTGCAGGGTGGGGAAGATTTGGGGGAGGACAGGGAAGAGGAAAGAGTGAGGGCGGTGCGGGTTGTTTGGATGGTGCGATACCAAGCCTCAGGGCTCTCAAGGTCTGGCTTTCAGCCACAGCTTTCTTTGCCTGTTCCTTTCCACTCCATTTTTGCATGCCCGTGCCTTTCCTTTCTCTTGCCACCTGCCCTCTCCCCCTTCCCCACCACCAGGCCAGGAGAGTGGCCCAGTAATCGTGCAGCCGACAGCAGCACAGACAGCCGTGAAGGGGGGGGCTTCAGTGGCAAGCAACGGCTGCGTCACGCTGACAGCCTCACAGCCCAACACGTGGGGTGCAGCGTTCCTCCAACTGCCCATCCCGCTCTTCTCTTTCGCCCTCAAGGCCGGTGCCTGTGGTCGCCCCTTGGCCTTCACCGTCTATTTCTCGTTCTCCATTCTCAAACCAGCCACCCCCCGTAGGGCAGCAGCCACAGCGGCAGGTGACGCAGGGGATGGGTTTGCGTTTGTGATTGCAGCCAGTGACGCTGCTACAGGCGGTAGCAGTGGCAGCAGCGATGGCAGTGGGGGTGGCGGCAGTTTGGGGTATGAAGGGATGGATGAGCGCAGCATTGCTGTGGAGTTTGACACAGCCAGGAGAACCGATGCCAACGATACCAACAACAATCATGTGGGGTTCAGTGTGAGGGGCAACACCTCTTCCATCGCAACTTCCAAAGCGCCATTCACTCTCAACGACGGCAAGCCAAAGCACGCATGGATCGTCTTCGATCCTTCTCCTTCCTCCTTTGGTTCTTCTGCCGGCACTGGCTATGGCAGAAGCAGCAATGGTGGCACGGGGTCGCTGCGAGTGTTTCTGTCGGGCAAGGCATCTCACCGGCCAGGCAAGGCAATGGTGGCGATGCAGGTGTCGCTGTGCGAGTTCCTGCAGCCCAGTGCAGCCGAGGCGTCGTTCCTCATGGGCTTCACTGCTTCCTCCTCTGACTCCCCGCAGCAACACTCCATCCTCACTTGGAACATCACCGCAGGTCATTCCTGCTGCTCCCTGCTGCTCGCTGCTGCCGTGTACTCCCTATGTGGTGCTCTGCATTAGTTGGTGCCTGTTGTCTCAATGGTGTCTGATTTTTCATCCATAATTGATGGGGTTGAGAGGCAGACAGACCGAATCCTCGGGGTTAATATCTGCAGCTGCTGCTATCGTCGACCTCCCTCTGTTTCGCCTGTCCCACCCCATAACCCATTATTGTCTCTCACCAGGAATGGCTCACCACTCAACATCGCTCCCTACCTACCATGCCGTACCCGAGTTCACATGCGTGTGTTACTTCCTCAATGCCTGTTACAGTTTCCTCGCCAGTCCGGATCAATGATTTTACCTCCTCGCCTCACTTCATTTTCTCTCTATTGCGTTCCTCACTCTTTTTCCAGGCCTTCCAAAATCAACCACTCTTACAGGTACAACGTACTTGAGTTAGCTTGGTTGGTTCTCTTCCTTCCTGCGGCCCTTTGGTCATCCACTTCTCTTCCAAGTCCTCTCCCCACTCCGTCACCAGTTCCACCCTCCTTCAGCACTTCCTCTATTCTACCCCATTCCCCCCCTCCCCCACCCAACTGCATATGCTGTGCCTCAATTCATAAGCTTCCTTCCCACTTTTCCCACACATGTCATGTCATTCCTCCCACCCCACCCTACCCTCTCCTACCCATCTCTACCCTACCCCACCGTCCCCTCTCCTCTTCCCCTACCCCACCAGGCCAGCAATTCGGGTTGAGGATGAGTGAGGCATCGCTGGCACCAGTGGGGGCGAACCTCTTTTTCCGCTACGCCAGTGCGGGCGTGCAGGCAGTGCAGCCCGCAGGCGGAGGAGTTGGAGGGGGAGGCGGAGGGGGCGAGGAGGAGGAGGTTTGGGTTGTGAGCCAGGCGTTCTCCTGGGCCGACCAGAGGCTGCCATGGCCCGTCCAGAACCAGGGCGCCTGTGGTGAGAGCATGGTGGTGGGGAGGGGAGGGGAGGAGAAGGGAGGAGGGGGGAGGCAAAGGAAGGGGAGGTGAGGGGAGGGGAGGGTAGTCGAGTGGAGGTTAGGGGAGTGGACGGGAGTGGAGGGGAGAGGAGGAGAGGGAGGGGAAGGGAGGAGGGGGGAGGCAAAGGAAGGGGAGGTGAGGGGAGGGAAGGGTAGTCGAGTGGAGGTTAGGGGAGTGGACGGGAGTGGAGGGGAGAGGAGGAGAGGGAGGGGAAGGGAGAGGAGGGTAGAGGAGGGAAGGTGATGGGAGGGTATTGGAGGAGAGGGATTGGAAGGGGGGGATGGGAGGTGAGGGAAGGGGATACGAGGGGATGGAACAGGATGCAATGTAATTGGATGTGATGGGATGGGATGGGATGGGATGGGATGGGATGAAATGTGATAAGTTATCTTCACTTGAGGCTACAATGGCGAGAGGGATTGAGAGGTGATGAGAGGGTTGGCAGCGTCGTTCCTCATGGGCTTCACTGCTTCCTCCTCTGACTCCCCGCAGCAGCACTCTATCCTCGAGTGGAACATCACCACAGGTACTTGCTGCTGCTTCCCCTGCCCACTGCTGTCTCATCCTCTTTCCGTGTTGTTTCGTACTATTTAGTGTATGTTCTCTCGTTGGTGCCTAATGATTTTGTGAGGATAAAGGACGGAGTATAGGAAGTTTAGGGGCCGAAGTAACTCAAAATCGTCGGCCAGAAATGTCGAGTTCACAAGAAACTTCAACAACGACAATTGCACCATTGAAACTTTACCAATTTCATATATGTTGGAGCCCTAAACCGTGGCTACCATTCTCAATCTGAATCGTATTAAAAAGGTCAAGTAAATTTTGAGATATTAATTTCGGCGCATTGGGGGGCTGAAATGTTGTAGTTGAAACATTACTCAATCCCAATGGTTCAACCAAGAACCACACAAGACAATTATAATAGCTAGAAACCAGGTAACACATGATGGCGATGACGAAAAGAAAGGTCCCAGAGGTCCCCAACCAAAAAAATCCATAAGCACACAATAATCCCTTCCTATAGTAACTTACTTTGACCTTTGTCACTATCCGAATTCATGCTATCCACATTATCCCAACTTGGCCACACTTGCCAACCTGGTTTGGCTTCTCTCAATCACTTCGCAACAACTACAGTGATGGTAATAAAATTTTCCAACCCCTAATGGTCTATACCGCATATAGATCAGCCCCACAACTTCCTACAGGTGCCGCAATGAATCAAAAGCATACGAACTTCAACCGTGCGTATCTTTCTTGTCTGTGCTCCGATCACGACTGTTCTTGGTTCGCCAGAAATCTCCTGAGTAATCAACTCATTTCAGATATCTGTTCAGACAATAAAATTCATATACACTCACGACATCCTCCAAACCATGTCAAACATAAATTCTTACGAACGTGCACATCACGCATGCAAGACGGAAAGATACGATGAGAGGCAAGCAAACGTGAATGCATATGGTAGCATCACTCAACATATTCATCCATGCTTGGGTCTCTCAACGAGAATGACTCACTCAACCATGCCGTGTCCGAGTTCAATGTGTTACGTCCTCGATGCTTCTTACAGTTCCTTCCCTTGTTTCTCTCTATCTCCGTTTCTCACTCTTTTTTTCAGGTTTTCAGGAATCAACCACTCTTACAGGTACAACTAACTAACTTAAGTTTGCTACTATCCACATCCACAACCTTCCATTTCTGTCACTTGGTTCTCGTCCTTCGTGCCTCTCCGGTCATCCATTTCTTCCCCAAGTCCTCTCTCGCCAATCCGTCACCAATTCCACCCTCCTTCAGCTTTTCCTCCCTTCTACCCACTGCACACACTGCGCCCCTCAAGTCGT